GTGTTCTGCAAAGCGGTCCCCGAGTCTCCGCTTGGTTTCCCCGATGTAGAGGAAGCCACACCGGGTACAGCGGATGCAGTATACCACATTGGCAGATGTGCAGGTGAACATCTGCTTGATGTGGAAAGTCTTCTTGGGGCCTGGGATGGGGGTGAGGGAGGAGGTATGGGGGCAGGTGTAGCACTTCCTGCGGTTGCAGGGAAAAGTGCCGGGTGTGGTGGAGCTGGAGGGGAGTGTGGAGCGGACAAGGGAGTCACGGAGAGAGTTGTCCCTCCGGAAAGCAGATAAAGGTGGGGAGGGAAAGATGTCTTTGGTGGTGGGGTCGGATTGCAGATGGCGGAAGTGTCGGAGGATGATGCGTTGGATCCGGAGGTTGGTGTGGTGGTACGTGAGGACGAGGGGGATTCTTTTTTGGTTCTTATTGCGTGGACGGGGTGTGAGGGATGAGGTGCGGGAGATGTGGGAGACACGGTTGAGGGCGTTCTCGACCACCGAGGAGGGGAAGTTACGGTCCTTGAAAAACGAGGACAACTGAGATGTACGGGAGTGGAATGCCTCATCCTGGGAGCAGATGCGGCGGAGGCGAAGGAATTGGGAATAGGGGATAGCATTTTGCAGGAAGGTGGGTGGGAGGAGGAGTATTCTAGGTAGCTGTGGGAGTCGGTGGGCTTGAAATGAATATCGGTTTCTAGGTGGTTGCCCGATATGGAGACAGAGAGGTCCAGGAAGGGGAGAGAGGTGTTAGAGATGGTCCCAAAACCAGTCCAGCTCGTCCCTGCCTCCCTAACCTGTTCTTCCTCCCACCTATCCCCTCCTCCCACCTCAAGCCACAGCTCCATCTCCTACCGACCAACCTCATCCCGCCCCCTTGACCTGTCCGTCCTCCCTGGACTGACCTATCCCCTTCCTAACTCCCTACCTACACTCACCTTTACTGGCTCCATCCCCGCCTCTTCGACCTGTTTGTTTCCTCTCCACCTATCCTCTCCTCTATCCCTCTTCTACCCGCCTCCCACTCTCTCCCTACTTATTTCAAACCCCCTTCCCCTCCCCCTTTTCTGATGAAGGGTCTAGGCCCGAAACGTCAGCCTCTCTGCTCCTGTGATGCTGCTTGGCCTGCTGTGTTCATCCAGCCCTGCACCTTGTTGTCTCTGATAACTTTAACTGTTCTTTGGACTAAACTCTGTAGTGTTTCTACGATTATTTTGAATATATTGGGATATGAAATGTTTATTTGTAAATTTGAACGAAGGCAGAATTAGCTTACTGAAATATTGAATCTGTTCAAAGTTATTACGAAGATATAAAAGTTGGAAAACTGTTTAAGCAAAACAATGAAGGGAAAAAGCCAGCAGAGATGTAGTTTCTGAGAAGTATGATCAGGATTAGTTGGACACAACTAATTTGAGTTTTAATATGGAGGAAAGCAGACACAGGAGAAAGCCTTTTGCAGATGATCACCAAGCAACAACTACAATTCTTTGGGCACATACTTGGAGAGAGAAACTTGAACATGAGGAATGGGAACAAGACTAAGCTATTCAGCTCTTCAAATCTATTCCACTATTCAATATGACCATGGCTGATCATCAAACTCAGTATTCTGCTCCCATTTTCTGCCCATAAACCTTTGATCTCTTAAGCCCTAAGAACTGTATCTAACTCTTCCTTAAAAACATTCAATATTTTGACCTCAACCACTTTCTGGGACAGAAAATTTCACAGGCTCACCACTGTCTGAATGAAAAAAATTCTCCTTATCTCAGTTCTAATTGTTCAACCCCATATCCTTAGACTGTGACCCTTGGTTCTGGACTGCCCACTCATTGGGAACGTTCTTCCTGCATTTAGAATTTTATATGTTTCTATGAGATACCACCCTCCTCATTCTTCTAGATTCCAGTGAGTATAATTCTAACTGATCCAGTCTCTCCTCATACATCAGCCTAGGAATTAGTCTGATAAACCTTTTTGCTCTCTTTTTATAGCCAGAACATCCTTCCTTCGATATCCTTTCCTCAAAACAGCACAGAATGCTTCAAGTTTGTTCTAACCAAGACTCTGTACAATGGCTGCAAGGCATCTCTGTTGCTGTAGTCAAATCCTCTCACTATGAAGGCCAACATTCAATTTATCTTCTTCATTGCCTGCTGTACCTGTATACTTACTTCCAGTGAATAGTGTAAAGGACACCCAGGTCTTGTTGCATCTTCCCCTTTCCTAATCTACTGTCCTTCAAACAATAATCGGCCATCCTGTTTTTGCTCCTAAAATGGATAACCACAAATTTATTCAGATTATACATTATCTGCCATGCATTTGCTCTCTCAGTCAACTTGTCCAGATCACACAGAAGCATCCCTGCATCATTCTCACCACCAGTTCAGCCTCCCCACCAGCTTTGTATCTTTTGCAAACCTGGAGATTCTACATTTAGTTCCCTCACCAAAATCGTTAATATATATTGATATATTAATATATAATAGATGAAGTCGAAGCACTGATTCCTGCGGGATCCTACTAGTTACTGGCTGCCACTCGGAAAAAGAATTGTTTATTTTTAACTCTTTGTTTCCTTTCTGTGAACCAGTTCTCTATTCATATCAGTACGCTATCCTCAATCCCATGCGCTTTAAGTTTATATGTTAATCTCTAATGTAGATCCTTATTGAAAGCCTTCTGAGAGTCCAAGTAAACTGCATCCAAGTAAACTGGTTCACCCTAATCACTCTACCAATTGCACTCATGAAATTCCAGCATGTTTGTCAAACATGATGCCCCTTTTGTAATTCCATGCTTACTGTCTGATCCTGCCACTGTTTTTCAAATGCTGTGTTATTAAATCCTTTATAATGGACTCTTAGCATTTTTGCTAATAGCAATGCCAGGCTCACTGACCTACAATTTCCTGTTTTCTCTCTATCTCCTTTTTTAAATGATGGGTTTACATTATTTAAGAATCCATGGGAACTGTTCCAGAGTTTATAAAATCATGAAAGATGACCTGCATTATTTCGAGGGTTATTTCCTTAAGTACCTTAGGGTGCAGATAATGGGGTCCTGGGGATTTATTGGCCTTTAGTCGCTCCAATTTACCCAAGACTATTTCCCAACTAATTCTGATTTCCTCTAACTTTTCACTAGACTGTGTTCCCCAATATTTCGGAGTATTATTTGTGTCTTCTTCTGAAGACAGCACCAAAATATGTATTCAATTGATCAGCCATCTGTTTGTTTCCCATTATAACTTCCCCAGTTTCTGAGTGTAAGGGACCCACATTTGCCTTCACTAATCTTTTTCTCTTCACATACCTATGGACCTATATACCGTTCTTTGGCTTCAAACTGTTGTGTAGTCATCCAACCAACATGATTGGCACAACTTGCATCCCTATTTTAGTAGAGGGTGGATTGCCCTGTGAGCCTCTCCAACCCTTTAACGAAAAGCTCTGAAATCCATTTATTGGAACAAATGTCCTTATTCTGGAATAGTGTCCCATTTGGTTCTGCGTAACTGTTACATAATGTGATTTTATGGCTGAATATATAAATACAATAGAAATTTTTATAGTGTGTGGAAGCAAA